CCTGTTGTTGATTCTTTTGAAAAGTAATCTAAGAGTACGTCCCAAATGCTTAAATAATAATGCGCTATTATATCGAATAAATCTGATTATAACCTGTACATCGCAACTCGTTGTTTAAGGTCATCAGCTGACCTATCAGTGGCACCCCACAAACTCCCACCAAAAGATTGGTTCTAACCAAAAAGTAGTACAATACTTGTTAGAATAATAAGAAACGAAAATTATATGACTATCCTCGAATCATATTAAAACGATGCTCGCAGCAATATAGATGGTGTTACATGCCGCCTAAGCATGCCAATCTAACGGCAAACATATAATTCAATGACAGGAGCCAGGAGCAGCTAAGATGAGCTGTAACCTTGATGAAGTGATGCTACCATTGAACAGGATGAGCTAAGTAACTTAGTTTCTTTCTCTTGAGACAATCAGCTGGAAGCATTTTTCTCTTGATACCTACACATTGTAATCCTTCTGAAGTCTGAATGTAAAATAAAAGTTTTACCCATTGTCTATCTGGGCATTTGTTTGTAAAGAGTAGCACATCAGTACCATGATGATCATTGCGTTTGGGGGAGGAAATAAAGAGGAGGAGGGACAGGGAGGGGGGAGAGGGTCAAGCAGGGGAAGGATAGTGGGGAGAGATAGGGTGGGTGGAGGGGTGGGGGGGAGGAGTAAGACAGGCAGACAGAAACAACAGAGGGAAAGAAAAGAAGCAGGATCAACTAGTGGTCTCCTCCAACCACCTGACCTGCTCAAGTATTCTGCCTCCATTAACACATTCTAGATTAATCAGGTGACCGGCTGCTTTGACTCAAGGCCTGAAGCAGGTTGAGAGGAATATAGCACCCCTGTAGACAGACGAAGATACTCAATAAAACAAATTTCCCCCATGCGGGAATCCAATTATCATCTGGGTGTAACCACAAAGAGCCCAATCATTACAAAAAAGAAAAATCTCTGAACTCAAACAACATTTCTTATCAAAACTAATCATATTTTGACCATAATACACCAACATTATATTATTGATACTCAGCATATTTTGACCAAAATATACTGACATTTCTTTTTGACACTTATCATATTTTGACCAAAACGCACCAAACATTCTTATTGATACTAAATATACTGATACTGTGACCACCATACACAGACAGAAAAAAATTTAACAAAATATGTATTGCTCAGGAACCACAATACATTTCTTAGATACCTAAGGACACAACAGAAGAAAGAGACTGGAAGCTATAAAAACTTGTCACTGTGAACAGAAGCACTGGCCACTATTGATGGAGTAGACCAAAACAATTTCTAAAGCACAAAATTTCAAAATATTGAAATACTTATCAGAGATCAATAACTTCATAACTCTGCGAAGTTTGGCAACTGCACGCGCACACATCTGTGTATGTGATCACATGTGTATGTGAGCACATGTCTGTGTGAGTATGTGTACATCTATGTGTGTGTGCTTGGATGCATAATATGAACATGAATAGATGTTTTGACAATTGACATCTTTCCAAATCTGGGAAAAAAAGAGGGAAGGAAAATCAAAAGGAAAGGGAAATAATTACAAGAGTTAGGATATTTCAGGACTGGAAAAAGACGACAAACAAACAACACAGGAAAACATAGGCCAAATCTGGCAACCGGCACGTTGGGACTGCCGGTAACATGGTAAAGGAAGCAAAAAGAAGACACAATGAACACAATGGGCGAAAACGTTTAACACTCATGATAGGGCAACAACGGGGCCACCAGCGCAGGGCAAAAGAAACAAAAAGTGGACGCAGTGAATAAAGTGGGCTAAATGGGCCAAATCTGTCAACCCTCATGATGTGGCAACAATGGGGTTACAACGGGGCTCCCAGCACAAAGTAAAGGAAACAAAAAGGGACTTGATGTGGTCACCATAACTTGACTTGTTACATCCGGAATAATGTAACCAGGAGGAACACGGAAACATATTTATATATATGGTGTGTGTAAAAAAACTACATGAATACACCTCTTCCTGAAACTAAACTATATTTATACATATGTATATATATCTTCCAGCACAAGGTGGATGAAATGATAGGCCTGGAACACCCGAGACCCATGCACCTATGGGGACGGGTGTCATGGTACACTCAAGATAGACCCATGCTACAACTTGCCTTGTACAAAATGTGCTTGCCTATTTTCTGGTTCTGCAAGAAACGTCATCATTTTTAAATACATCATCTCAATAAATGGTTCTTAAGTTTTAATAAGAGTTTTACAGCACTCGTAACACAAATATTTCATATAAAAGTCGAAGATTAGAGATGTCACTACAGAGTAACATACAAAGAAAAGAAGGAGGAGAGATAAGGACGCTAAATGTTTGATAGGAAATATGGAGCAAACCACACTGGTTGCTACAGAAATTCAACAAATAGAAATACAAGAAACATTGACATGAAATCTGAGCTGAAATAGTTTTTAACAGCTCAATCAAACAATTTTTGGTCTCTCCTGTAACACAGACTTCCTGGGAGCTGGCCCATCTGTGCTCGACAACATCAACAGATGTGATTAACCAAAGAGCTGAAGAGTCAACATTCCTGAAATTTCGGGGAAATCACAAGCGCACATACATTCATTTACAACCACACCACTTAACAACATTTTCTCAGGGAATTAGATGCTTCATCCCAATCTCAACAGTATCAACTAACCATTCAGTTTTGGCCAGTTAGTATCCTGAAACAAGGAAAGATAAGACGGCAGAGAATGACAAACACAAGATTATAATAACATCTAACCGTCCTTCTTCTAAAGCAGGAAGGGGCAAGTGTGTCCAAGTCGCAGGTCGGTTTAAGCGATTCCAAAAATCTCGTGGGCCAAAGCAAAAATAAAATTGATGAAATCTGCTGAAATATTTAAGCTCTCAAAATTGACACTATGGCATATGTCACGCAAGGGCATTTTATGAGACAAAATCTATTACTTCCAGCCGGACCAAAAACTATTGATTTTGATTTTTTTTTTAGGATGGGCATTTTGATTTTATTAATTATTAACTCACTGCAAGCCACATTCCTTAATCATTGTGTTGACTCAAGGCCAAACTGAAATTGCTCCTTGCAGATCTGATATGACCCAAGGCCGTGCTTTGCCCATGCCTGCTCTAAAATGAAGTTGACATTCACACAATGAAACGTACTGAATATTCTTTAAGAAAAAAAGGTCTGAGCAAACTCACCTCTTTTGACTCTTTGATAAGCTTCAACATTCCATTCAAAAGAATCATGTCAAATGTTGAGAACGTTGTTTCTTCACAACTGAAAGTGAACCAAAGAAAGAAAAAAATAAATAAACTGGTCTTCTCACGCCACCCATCATTTAATCAGTTAATATAAAATAAAAATGGGGTTCTAGAGAGAGAAAAATAGAAGACACAAATCAAAAGCTTATTGCAGGCATTAAAAAAACATATTGAAATGACAATGACAATGAAATTTATTTCTGACTCCATTCTTTCAATGCAAAACTGCTGTTAAGTTTTAGTAAGAGTTTTACAGAATTAACATAACAAAGAGATAGTATAAGTGTTGAAGATTTGAAGTTCTACTACATAGTAACATACAAAGAAAAGAAGGAGAAGAAACAGGGACAATAGACAGGACAAACATGGGTGCATGCGGACCAATCAAGTATTTCCAACAAAACAACAAAGTAGTATCACATCAATACTGAAATTCCCAGAAAAAAGCATCAAATTAAGCCTTAGTAAAAGCATACAACATACTGATTTAGAAGTTTATTTGTAAATGTTTTAAGTGCCTATTGACACAATAAAGACAAATTATGAAGCCGGCTACTTCAGCCCTGCCTATCAGGGCATATCCAAAATTTGAGGGTGCACGCCAAAGTTGTACGAAAGATTGATTTTTTAAAATCTCACTTCAGACACATGTGATGAACAAACTCCACTGCCATGACACGCAGCTTTGCATTGGGCGTAGCTCCAAACAGACAATCAAAAACGACCTGTAAACCAAAATCAAATGACACATTTGTGATTGCACGTTTGAGTAAGAGTTGTACAGCACTTGTACCACAAAAGGACAAATAAGTTCCAAAGATTAGAAGTGTTACAAGACGGTAACTTACAACAACAACAAAAAAAAAAGGGGGGGGGGGGGGAAGAGAAAAGGATGAAAGATGTTTGATAGCAAAGAAAGAGCAAACCACACCACTAATCACCCATGCACAATGTCAATTTTCAGTAAAGAAAAGCTTATTGACATAAGATTGAAACAATAATGACACAATCAAACTCATTTTTACTACACGCAATGACAAAGAGCTCAACCATTACACCACAGAAACCTGTTTTGGAGACAAACCATTTTCATTTTCCCCTCATAATAAGGAGAGATGTCTTGGCTTACTGGATAGGCTGTAAAAGGGATAATGTTAGCCACACCACATTCCACACACAAACTAACCTGGAGACATGAGGGAAACATGTTACTCGCTTCCCTGGCTTTCAAAAAGAGTGGAAAAATCTTCAAGCGAATCCTTGGGTTCACAGGAGTGCGACGTGCTTCTGGTTTGACTGTAGCCTGAGGAAATTAAAATATCTCATTGAACATGTAAATAAGAAGCCTTGGAAAATACAGATGTAAAAACCTAGAAAAGAGACTAGAAGAATCATAAGAAAGAAGTAAGATGAGTCCACTTGATCTATCCTCCCCTTAAAACTGAAAAAATGTTCTCCTTCCTCAAGCGCCAGCCCTGACAATGACACTGGCAATAGTAGTTTGCTCCTCATCTCTCTGTCAGGATCCTCTATCAAAACCAACATCTTGGCCTTTTTATTAGTCAATTATTTTTTTTAATGAATAACAACAGGGGCAGAAATGTTAACAATTAAGTGCTGTACAGAATTTAACAAAAACAGTAAAACAAACATCTCAAAATCTTTATTTCAGCAATTTTTGTAAAAGATTGGTAAATTGTTAAAGAGGGTAGACATGCAAAAGGACAAAAGCATAATTAACTCACAGAGAAAAACAAAATACAGTCCCAACAGCTCCGATGGCCACCTGTCCAAGATAAACATATTATGAATATATGGCCACTTCCCACTTCACCACTTGCAGGGTTTTTTTTCTATATCATCACCATGACACTGTCCAAGACATCCATCTGTCTGAGACAATTGCTTTTCTCCTTAACAATGGGAGGCCAAATTGGACAGTCTTGACTGTATTCTTAAACCTACCCAAGCCTAACAATGAGACAATCCTGGGGAGAAACCACCTACTAGCTCAAGTGAGTTGATCGCAAGCGTTTCATTTTTTACTTGCTGATTTTGGTCAATTGTTGCATTTTTTATTTTTACTTGGTTTCGGTTTTGCCAAGTTGAACAGTTTGTTTGAGTAAACAGAAGCATATCGGCCTGATAAAGGTCATTTGTATGTATGTATAGTATAAGGTTTTACGGCGCTCGCAACTGCTAAAGGTCATTTAGTGCAGGGAAAAAGCAAGACTGACAGACAGTAACAACAGAGGGAAAGACAAGAAGTAGGACCTACCAGCTGCGCCTTCCAACCACCCATGGGTTGAATGGGAAAAAGTTAAGCTTTGAGTTGTGGGAAGTACACCAACAAATAAAATCATTTATTTCTCATTATTTTCTTTTCTTAGGGACCAGTCCGGTGTGCAATGACGTTGTTGCCCAGGACAGGTAATACAAGTAATACAGGTAATACACCAACAAACATGAAACACCTACCTGTCCCTTGACCACGACAGTGCCTTGGAAAATTGTGAAAAGTTTTGTCAGGATGTCCTTAGAATTCCAGTTCACACTCCTACAAGACAGAAAAATGCATGACTATACTCTTCTCTTAAAACTTAAAAGAAATCATCTTTATAACTCAACTAAATAACTAACAATAAAGTATGAACATTTTTGCCAAGCTATACAGTCCATATCTGAAAAATTCAGAAGGCATAGTTTTGTAATTCAGTATAGACTTTAGTATTTCCAACTTACACAAAACTCCTGGCTTCAAAATAAATATTTGTCTTCACCAACTCCATAGTGCAAGCAGATTACTGCACAGCATTCTAATAACTGCAATGATTTGGAGATGAATTGAGACAGTACGTCCCATTGACCAAAGTTTAAGTAAAGTGAGAAATATTAATCTTTCTTTTGTCCTTCTTTGACAGTATTGTTATGTAAGTTTACAAATTGTAATGCATGTTTACCTATTGTAATTTCCTACATAATAGTCACTCAGTGTGTGTGTGTGTGTGTGTGTGTGTGTGTGTGTGTGTGTGTGTGTGTGTGTGTGTGTGTGTGTGTGTGTGTGTGTGTGTGTGTGTGTGTGTGTGTGTGTGCATGTGCTTATGTGTGTGTGTGTAAGACAGGTTTTGCCTGAAACACCAAAAGTGAATTTCTTGAGTGTTGTGATTCTGACAGCAGATGCAGTAAGCACTTCTTCCACTTTGAAAAGTACACCAGCTCAGAGTATCAAATTCACTCGTCTTCTTTCACCTGAGTCTCAAAATGAGCTGAAGACTTACCCAATGATTTTTTTCAGTTCCATGTCAGCTGAAGTGGCCACACTGAAACAAAACAAAACAGGTGGACATATATAATCTTTGTTGTTAGAATCTTCAAGAAACAACATATCTTTTACATCATGCATTGAGCACACAACAACAAAAAAAAGCAGCCTCCACAATTTGTCTCAACGTCTTATCCTCCAGAGGCAAGAATAGTCTTACCTGCTCTAACAGTCACCTATACAAATGACCAATTTTAACTTCATCTCTTGCATCTTTTCTTCATTATAATGACCTTGCCAAGGACATCCATCTGTCTGATATAAACCACTTTCTGATCTCTGCTCTGATGAATTACTTCATAAAGTTGGAGACCACTGTCAAATTTTACGTTTTCAATATGTGATAAAGAGGTCTTCCTTTATTTCCCTTTGCTTCTATTTTACACTGTAACACATTTGTTACAAGGTCCATTTTTATGTGGTCATGGTATTCCACTCATTTCTCCCCTTGGATTCTCTTGAAAAACATACTTATCCAGATTTTCTTCTATCATTTACAATTTCAAAAAAAAAAAAAAGTCTGTGGCAAATCTGGCGTACCTGTGGCGAGTATCTGAAGAAGCCACCACAAAGTGACAGGCTGCCTCTTCCTCCTCCACAAGGCCAGAGCCCATGAAACGGATAACGCTCAGCTTGACTTTTTCTAGCTCTTCTGGCATCATGGGGTTCTCGGCTGTCAGTCGCTATGTGAAAAAATTAAGTAAAAGTGTGAGAACGAAGGAGAAGGAAAGAAGAAAGCCCTCCTCCATAACCTACTATTGTTTTTACAAAGACTGTATCTCTCTCTGTCTTCCTCTTCACATTCAAAGAAGACAAGTCACCTACTGACGGTGGTATGCTCTAATCATGGAATAACCGCTTATAAATTATTTGATGAGCAAAAGAACATCAAAAACCCACATCTTTTTAAAACAATGAGAGAAAACACAAAAGTGAGGCCAATTTCTTTCCGGTACAGTCAGAGTAGAGCACTATTGATATACCTCTTCACAGCTTTTTTATTTGACAAAGCTTTCTTTAAAAAATGTATTGTTCTCAAGGAAAAACTGCCCTGTCAATTCTACACCGATATTTCTCTCTTTCATCTGCGTCTAGCACATGGTAAAGCTTCACCACAGAAAACAAATCCAATTGAAAAACACTGCAAACACCACCATAAATGTGTTAACATGACACCTTGTACAGGAAAGCAAATAATCCATACACCCTGCTTCTTTTTCTTTAAGAGCCAGATCTGATCCAGATATTGTCAATCATGGTTCGCCACTAGTTTCTCTATTCCAGTACTCTAAAAAAAAACCCCTCCATTTTCCGTCTTTTCCCCACCACCCATCTGTTCAAGTAAATTACTCTTGGTTTGCCTCCTTTCTATAATAAAAAAAATGAGGCATTTATCTATTCCTACTCTTTCCCTAATGCTTTCAGCAATGACCATTGAGGACACCGATACCTCAATGTTATAAGATAGTTTTTTAATCTTCATATGTCTTAGAAGGTATTTATTATATCTACAAAGTTCCTCAACATTTGGCATCCTGAACTTGATCAGGGACATTCATGGCTGCTAATTTTTCAAAACAAAAAAAACAGACTCTACTCACATGGCCGGTCAAAAGGGTGGGCATTGGCCAAGTAACCCTCATCTTAACCCTTCTCACACACTTTTCCATATTCAATATATTCAAGCTTTTTAAAGTACACAAGCAGTAAAAGATGTTTCCATTCGACCTATGGGCTTCATTCACATTATTATTCACATTATTCAGTCTTGAAAGTTCATAATTTCTCTTCAGCATCGGCAAGTCTGTAAGGAGCAATAATAGAAAACAGAGAATGTATATATATTTTCCGACATAAAAACAGACTTCCCTAAGATTTAAAACAATCAAAACAACAAAAGCAAACAAAAGTGTTAACTAACTTGACAGTGCTGGTTTAGAATACCTTAAAGGCAGCCGGACTGAGGCCAGGTGGTGTGGCTACAGGTGGCGGCTGGGAGGCTCCTCCATCACTTGCTGGTATTGCTGACATGTGGGAGCTGGGAAAGAAGACATAAAATCTTGTCTCTAGGATTGTGAAAACTGCTACAGTAATAGACAAAATTTTAAGAAATTTAATAGAAAAGCCCTCTATTGCATGCCTGCTTGCTATGGTTGCTATGGAAATTGTAGCCATCTTGGAAAAAAAAAAGTGAAATATATCCCTAGAGCTGTTTTTTTATTTCTAGACCAAATTTATCCAAATTTGGTGAGAGTACACCTGTTCTTATTACAAACTTCCATACAGTACCATTTTAAGACGTGTTTCAAAGGCCAAATGTTTTTGGAATTTCATGTAGTATGTAACAAAACTTTGGTTAGGCCTACCTATTATTTACAAGATATTCTCATTTTCTTCTGAATGCAACATAGTGTTGTAACATAATGCAAAACTATGTGCAGTGAAGGTTTCCTGAAAGTTTCATACAAATAGGATGAAGAATAAAAATGTAGTAGTCAATAAACTCCAATAAAACATTATTTTGAGAAAAAAAAGCCAGTTTGTTGTTAAAATTTGCCAATTGCTTGACTATTTTCACATTTTCAAAAGCAAATTATGACAGTTATAAGACATTTCTAAATTTCATCTTTCTTTCTTTTTTTTTTTTTAGGAACAGAAGTGGCTGAATTTTACTAATCCTTAAACAGGGTTAATTTTATAATTTGACCCTAAATCACCAACAAACACGTGTATGTAATATCTTAACAAACAAAACCAACACTCACTTGTACGGCAGCAGAAGCACATCCATGAAGTAATCAAGCAGCACAGTTTTCAGAACGGGTCTATCCTTCAAAGGAAATCTTGCCCGGCACTCAGCCTCTGTTTTGGGCATCTGGACATACTGGAGTGCTTGAATCAACAACTGTAACAGACTAGAACACAGAAGATTTTTTTAAAAAGTGGGAAAAATAATTACTGGAAATTGGAATGACAAAACAGGATGAAAATCATCTTTAAAAACAAAATTAGAGGTATGTGGACTGACAAAATCTTTAAAAAAATTATTTGTTTTTGGTTAATTGTACCAAGCATACATCCACATGATGATTCTCACTGACCTCAAGTCTTCTCCGTGCTACAGTTAAAAGTCTGACCACTACACCACAGACACAGGTATAATTATCACTTCTTAGTTTAGTTAAACTAAGAGATTTAAAGAACTTCCAACACAAATAGGTCATATGAGTGCCGAAGATTTGAGATGTTACAACAGAGTAACATCCATAGAAAAGAAGCAGGAGAAAGAAATAAGGATGATAGATGTTGGAAAGGAAAGAAGGAGGAAAACCTCACCAGAGCACCTGCCAACCACCCACAACTTACCTGTCCTGATGGTTTGTTGAACGACCCTCTAAGCAGTTGATTAGCAAAGGGACTAGTTGTGCTTGCTTCTCTGGGTCAACTCTGGGAAAGCCCAATTTGATGAAGAGAATTGTGAAGTTCTGAAACAAACAAAACAAACCATACCACCAAAGGGTTACTTCCGTTTTAATGGGAGTTTTATGGCACTTTCAACGCAATTAAATCATATAAAAGCTGAAGATTAGAGGTATCACTAGAGAGTAACATAAAAAGAAAAGAAGGAGGAGATATAAGGACAGTAGATATTTGATAGGAAAGGTATCTTTACCCACATAAACAATGAGCATCCTCAATATTCAATAATTCAGTCCCAATTCAGCAAATTTTTCCCTCCAGCTAACAGTTCTATAAGAAGCTGAAACCATAACCTCAGTATGCACATTTGAAAGGCAAGATGTTATAAGGCTTATCTAGCAATAAGAAAATTATACATGGTTACCTGGGCCCGGGTTCTAAGAGGGACGTTGAAACAAAAATACTAGCACCCATTCCATGTTAAAAACTCGTTTGCTTAAAAGAACAGGGATCGAACACAATTCAATCTTTTTTTTGTTCATTTCTTGAGCTCCATGGTATGTGATTAGCACAAAAATCATAATTATTACATCAAGAATAAAACAACATAAGATGAGACAGTGTTCTCAAGACACACCGTGATGAAAGGCGTAGCTTGAGGATCTTGAAACTGCGTCAGCAAAGCATCAAGTGGTAGCAAAACTTTGCCTCGGCTTTTCAGACGCGTCTTGATATGAGCAAGTAACTTCAAAACCTGTTGGATTTTATAACAAAACATTGTAAGATAAGAAATAACACAAACCAGAACAATGTTATTACTGACTGACATTGTTTTGATTTTACGCTTCAAATTAACTGTTCAGTGAGCTTCTGTTGAATAGCAATTAGCAAAATGTACTTGTATTAAGAGTAAACATCTCCTTATTTTAAGCGTAACTGAACTAGATAATTAGCATGAAGATAGATACAGCTAATTTTTGTAATTTTGTTAATTAAACTCTTCAGTGACAGTCCTATTCAAGTTAGGCTCTTGTAAAACAGCAGCAACAGCAGAAGTATTTGTATGAAGCATAAATATTTCTTAAAGTAAGTAAGAATACTAATAAATCCACTCAAATTTATTATGTATTGAAACAAAAATAAGATAAAGAAAATTTGGATTGTGTATAGCATAAAGTATAAAAACGAAATGAACACTTAAAGACTGATGATGATTTAAGCCCACATATGAACCATTCTCTGTTCATAAATTATAGAAGCAAATAAGTCAACACATGCGCAGTTTAAAAAAAATTATACAGATTAAGGAACAAAAAGTACCTTTGATCGTACTCCTTCATCCTTGCTGTTCAGCTTCAAAATAAGTGGTGCCAAAAACTTTGCTAACGCTGTTTGAAGCTGTTCGTCTGTTTCAGCAGACCCAATGCGCAAGAACACTCTCTCAACCAGAGCTGCTCAAAGTAAGAGAAAATGTAATGTCATCAATGTCATCTTATTTCAACAACAGAAATTCTATATAACATAAAAAAGTCAAACAGTGCAACAGAGAGGGAGGAACAGGAGCTGAAATAAAACCCTGCATGAGAAACGCACAGGCTGCTTTCATATCTTCGAACAGGATTTGGAGGACCAGATTAGGAACTAAACTTGTGCTTTCATATCTTCGAATAGGATTTGGAGGACCAGATTAGGAGCTAAGCTGAGGATCTTCAACTCTATTTTGTTTTAGTAAGACTTTTACGGCACTTGCAACACAATAAGGTCATATGTGCCGAAGATTAGAGGTGTTAACAAGAGAGTAACAAACACAAAATACAAGGAGGGGAGATTTATAAGGACGATAGATGTTTCATCGAAATAGAAAAGAAGGAGAAAACCACACCAGAGCACCCACCAACCACTCAGTCTTCAACTCTACGTGAAGACTTGTATGGATGTGATACAAGGAGTGCATCTCAAACTTGCATAAAAAGGATCCAGGTTTTCTACAACTGTCTGTTCTTGCTTTTTTAAAAAGAAATGTATCCTTTACTGAGGATCGGTAATTGAAATTCCGATGTCAGTGGATGGTATGGTCACTTAGCATTATTTCCACCTTTTTTTTAGAACATTTTGATTTTGTGTACGCATGTCTCTTCCAACTTAGATTGTTCTTGCCGGAGATAAAGAGTTTACTTGTTGGCTTGAGTCACTGTTTCATTCCCAATCTTAAAAAAATGCTGATCGGTAGATTCTGTATCTATAAAAAAGTCATCCCAACAGGGGAATTCATCTCCAACTTTCAGTAAAGGTTCAGCCATCGTCTGAACATCACATCAACTTGCAACATGCAGTTCAACAAGTTGAGTTTGCCGGCTGACCAGAAATCACACGTGATCTGGACTTTGGTGTGCAAATCAACCATCCCTTGTTTCAAAGAGCTAATCAACATGCAGTGTTTTATTACTTTGCATTGCGGGGCTAATCGAAACGCAGCGTTTCAATTAGGGCAATTAGCCTTTAGCCTTTAGGCACTTGAATTAAGTCATCATGTATCTAGATGTAGGCCTTGTTCCAGTAGATCTAGATCTAGATATATCTAGATCTAGATCTAGATTTTGATTCTAGATCAAGATTTCTATGTAGGCCTACAGTGTGAAGCAATAGAAACTCAAACTCTGTCACTGTCGGTAAGTTAACAGTCAAGTTCTTGTATTCTCTGATTGCCATGCATGATACAATAGTATGATTATGATCAAGATTACAAAAGTGAATCTGAATGTAGTCTACACTGCATCTAAAGATAAACCAATTATTACCATTTTCATCTTGTGCAGAATTGCTAGTGGCCATGTTCAGAGATCTGGATGTGTGTACGCGTAAAAGCTCGATAATATTATTGACGAACAAGGCTATGATTTGGCATTTTCAAGATTTCGTTTCGGGGCTTTTAGTTTTCGCATTTGTAAACATAAGTTTTTTCACTTCTATAACAGGAGAGGTACTTCCGTGTTACGGGTGTTTCGTCGTTTCTGTTTATAACTCTATAGAAACGTAGCGGGCGCGCTCAATTTCAACAGCAGACCAAAGGCTATATTCTATGTTGGGGCACATTTCGAAGTTAATTGCAGAAATTACAAACACGCACTTACATGTTTTGTAATTTGTGTGTTTTGGTTTGCATTAAAAAATTTATATTAAAAGCCGAATAGGAAAATCTGTAGGAATAATGAATGAAGCTCCTGCTTCCATAAATTTTTAATTACGTTTCCCAAACCAGCGCGAGTTCAAATGTTGTTGAACGTGCGTTTTCAAATGGTTAAACAAAAACTGAAGCCCACAATGCACAAATTTGGAATAAGCAATATTCAATGGCCTGCTTCTCATTCATATTTTTACTTACAGTACACCTTCCCTCAAAAGTGTATATTTATGTGACATGTGCGTTTTAAATTTGTTTTTGTTTTTATTGGGGGGAGGGGGGGGGGTGTAGTGTTTTACGGCTCTCGCAACTGCAGAAGGTCATATGAGCACGAGGGACACTTTAAACATTTTCAGTTGGTAGGAATTTCTCAGTTTTGCCCGGATGATGGTCGAAATTTACTCTTATTGATTTTGGGCCAACATAAGGAATCTTTAACGTACGCAACTTAGGGACCTCCGGAGATTTTTCGCCCGTATCCGAGAAGACTAAGTGTTAAACCTTACATACTATAAGATCTGAGGTGTGGCTGAAAGACAGCAGTAAGAAGGGGCCAAGGAGTAGCGGTAGAAAGCCTGCCGAAAGAGTCAGGAGCCCAGACAGGAGAGCGCAAAGGAGGTGAGGGGGGGGGGGGGGGGGGGGGGGGGGGGGGGGGGGGCAGAAAGTGAAGACGAAGGCAAACGACAGAACATTGTTAGGCTATACAGTAGGAAAGGAGGAGAAAGGGGAACATTTTCCGTGGCTGTCCGGATTCGAACCCGGACCTATTGAGTGAGAGACGAACACCGTAACCTTTCGGCTACGGTAGCCCCCCCCCCTCTCATGTGTGCGTGTGTTTGTTTTCATTTGACTCTCATGGGGTCTTTTCCCAGCACTCATCATCAAGTATTAGATCTACGTCAGACATCGGCGATCATGGTTCTCCAAGTAAGCTTAATTCCTTTGTTCGGATGCCCTAAAAAGAAAGCTTAATTATCTTGATCTTTCACCGTCATCCATCTATCTCCCGGCAGCACGAAATGACCGTTTTTTATGTCGATAGTATTCTCTTTATTTAATCCTATCCAATACTCCTTTTTTGCGCTATCCAGTACTTTGAAGCCTGAGGTTCGAACCTGTGCCTGTCAAAAAAAAAAAAAAAAAAAAAAAAAAAAAAAAAAAAAAGATCGTGTGCCCGTTTTTCGAAATGTTTCCTGTCAGCCCGATGTGCCAACAGCAGGCCGACCGGAAAACCTCCTTGGTGGTGGGCTACTAGACTCTAACTCTCAAGTGCAGAAGATTTTTAAATCTACGTCGAGTAACTCTGTCCCCACGGGTGGTCGGCGGGCGCTCTGGTGTGGCTTAATTGCTCCTTCTTTCCTGACCAACATCTTTTATCCTATTTCTCCTTCTTTTCTTTGCATATACTACTTTTTGTAACACATCCAATCTAGGACACATTTGTATGACCTATTTGAGTTGCAAAAGCCATAGAACTCTTACCAAAGCTTAAAAGAAAACAACTAAAACTGTCTGCTGGCTTGGATGCGCCCCACTCAACCCTGACAGGCCTAGTCGAAACAGCCGCCTCCTGAATGACCTAATTGTGTGGGGTTATGAAACACTTACAATAACTTACATGTAATTATCGGTACATGAAAAAATTATACTACTTGTGGATACGGTGTGGTCATCATTGGAAAAGATTTACCTTTGTGTCTAGTAGGCCTACTAGAAGGACGCTACATTACTTCCTTTTCCAAAGAATCAACTTGAAGCTTCAATATTGACCAGCTGCCTATCTCTTTGAATGCATACTTTCTGATTTAAAAAAGACGCGCTGTTTTAGGTAACTTTGTTATTCATACAGAATTTCGATTCTCTTTTCGTAATCTAAAGCTTAAAACGAAAGGCAGCAACATGCATAGGTCTACTATGAAATGTGCTAATTCATGATTTTGATTTGTTTATGATGGTTCAAATTTTGCGCAGCTGCCTTTGGTCTTCTGTTGGTCGAACAATTTATTGTGTCCTTAATGTCTACGTCTAGAGTTAATATATGATTATGTTCAATATTATTTTGTTGTTTACAGTAACACTATGATTTCATTTTTAAATGAAGCATTTTTCGTTTCTTGTCTGCTGGGACTTAAGGTGTCAAGAACTGGCTTCTGCCTTTGAAGACAGAGATGATGAGTTCGATTCCCGGACAGGGAGGGTTTTTCTAACATCGTTTTTCTAACAACAAAACAAGAAGAGACACAATTAAAAATGAAGTCATAAGGGACACCGTGGGAGCAACACCAGTCCTACCACACATTGAAAAACAAAGGGTCAAGTGGTTCGGACACCTCACGCGGATGCCCTCAAACCATCCAGCTCTGAGAGCATACAACATTAAATATTCTGGATGGAGAGCCAGAGGAAGACCAAGGCGACGATGGAGTGAATCTGTGGCAGAACCCTTAAAGATCACGGGATGTCCCTCCTACAGGCCACACGACTTGCTGCAGACAGACACCTGTGTCTCCCCGCGACACTCCAGGGTACAAGCGGAAGAAAAAAGTGAAAAGTAAGTAAAGTTGAGTATCACCGTCTGTTTTCTGGAAATGTTGTATCCCTCTCAACGCAGGTTGCACCTGGCAAGCAGGATCGAAGCATCGTGTCTTCTTCATAACCTTTCCCCGTGTTCTGGGTGCCTGCACACACAGGGCAGGGACATTTTCAAGTAATCTTTTTGTTTAAAGTATTTTATGTGCGTGCTTATAGTCCTAAATATGCCCCAAGAAGGGTAAAATACATGACAGGTGTCAATAAATCTATGTAACATTCAGTTGTTTTTTTATACTGAGTGAAAAAAAAAATCAAACCTGCAATCCACTGTCATGGGTGCCTCGGCACCCAGACGTCATAAATAGGCAAATTCTTCCTCCCCTCTCATGGATGTTTGCACACCCATAAAGTATATAACAGTATTCACCTTCCGAGGCCTTTGAACTGTTTTTCGTAACTGTATGGAGTGTTGATTCAACTATCGATGCCTTTGAACTGTTTTTCGTTGAAGAAGTTATTGAAAAAATCGTAGAACACACAAACAGTGAGGGAGAGCGACTCTATGAAAATAAAAGAGGCGGTTGGAAAGAGACAGACAGTGTTCAAATACAGGCTCCCGTGGCCTCATTGTTGGAACTATGCTCTTTGAAACAAGGGATGGCTGATTTGCAGATTATATTCAACAACATTTGGGGAAATAACTTTGTCAGATCGCTTTTCAGTCACCAGCGTTTCGAAGCTCTTATGACTTGTCTTAGGTTCGATGATAGACTAACAGTGACAGGTCGACAAGAAGAGCAAAAGATGCCCTGGCTCCTATCCGTGAGAAGTGGGACCTTTTTGAGAAACATTTGTCTATAAGCACTACAACCCTGGTCCTTATCTGACAGTCGATGAACAACTGGTCCCTTTTCGTTGTCGCATCAAGTTCCGCATATCCATGTCCAGCAAACAATATGGTCTCAAAATCTACTGGCTCTGTGAAACTGGCACTTCTTATCCATTGAAGGCGTTTCCTTTCACAGGTAAAACTGGTCGCTTATCAGAAAAGGACCATGGTACAAATTTGGTTCTGAAACTTTCGGAGCCATTCTTCTGGACTATAAGAAATGTCACATTTGACAATTATTTCACTGATCTGAAGCTTTGCAAAACCCTTTTGAAGAACGGCTTGACACATTTTGGAACAGTCAGGAAAAACAAGACCTTTATTCCATCTAGTCTCAGGGATGATCTTATGCAAAGGAAACTTCTTCCCACAAGCCGCTTTGTCTTCCTCCCAAAAGCAAGCATTATAACCTACAAAACCAAACCAAACAAATTCGTTACTTTGCTTTCATCCATGCATGCTGACAAGAAAGTTAAAGGAGACAAAGCAAAGCCTGATGTGGTATTGTTTTGCAATTCGACAAAAGGTGGAGTGGATGCAACGAACCATATGGCTCATAAGGTCTCCACCAAGGGGAAGACCAAGCGTTGGTCCGTTGTGTTCTTCACAAACATGCTTAATTGATGTTGCTGAAATCGCAGCACTTGCCATCTTTAGAGTTGCCAAGCTCAGCGTTCACCTGGTTAACAAAAATGCCCTGTTAGACTTCATTCGGTCCGTAGTAACAGGGCTGTGAGGGTTGCCTCCGTAGAAGACTCTCCGCCCCCAACCTCTCTCATTACCTCAAAGAGACGTACCATAATTGCTTTATCTATTGAGACCCTTAGGGCATCAAAGAAGCCGAAAACGTCCATGGCA